TCATTAGGGTTTAGAGAATCCAAAACCCTAGCTAATAAATTCGTCAAGTTCTTCAAATTATGCTCACAACGGGCATCTAAACCCTAAACCCTAAACCCTAATCGTTAAACCCTAAACCCTAAACCCTAATCCTTAAACCCTAATCCTTAAACCCTAGTCCTTAAACACTAAACCCTAAACCCTACGCCGTAATTACACAACCAATAAACACAGAATAATCCAAGGAGATGAGCTGCATAAAGGGATTTCTGCTTTTAATAAAAAAAAACCATAAGGAATATAATATTGAGGGTTTAGGGTTTAGGGTTTAGGGTTTAGGGTTTGTGGTGTTCAGGTGTCTCCTCAAGTTCACTATGATTTTGGGCTTCGAGCAGCAAAAGCAGCGCTGGTGAGAGCGGGGGAGCTGAGAAGAGAAAACCCTAGCAGAGCAGAAGAAGAAGTTCTAGCACAAGCAATCAAGTGAGGGTTTAGGGTTTAGGGTTTAGGGTTTAGGGTTTTGAGGGTTTGTAGGGTTTGTAGGGTTTATAAGTATTTGTGTTTGTGAAAAACACAGAAACCCGCGTTTTTTCATTTTCTAGATGTAGAATACAAAATATTTTTTCAGGGTTTAGGGTTTAGGGTTTAGGGTTTAGGGTTTAGGGTTTAGGGTTTTGTGTGTGTGAAGGGATACAAACGAGCCCAAGTTTACAGCAGAAGATAAACCCTTATTTCTTTCTCTTCTTGAGGACTTCTTTCCTGGGGTTTCAGCAAACCTAGAAAAAGATGCAGCCATTGAGGAATCTATACGAGAAAGCATGAAGGCTCTAGAGTAGGGTTTAGGGTTTAGGGTTTAGGGTTTAGGGTTTGTTAGGGTTTAGGGTTTGTTAGGGTTTAGGGTTTTTTAGGGTTTAGAGTGTTCGATCGTTCAAGTGTTCAGATTCAGGGTTTAGTATCACCCCTATCCACTCTACACTCTACACCCTAGGGTTTAGGGTTTAGGGTTTAGGGTTTAGGGTTTAGGGTTTAGGGTTTGTGCAGCTTGGTTCCTCACGCGGATGGGGTTCAGTTGGGGGTTTATCTGCGGCAGCTGCTGGAGGCCCGTCGGGGTACTATTGTATTGGGAGCAGCAGCAGCAGGAAAGAGCAGCATCATTGCTGCTGCTGTTCACTCTTTATCTTATGGAAATTCTGCTGCTGCTGCTGCTGCTGCTGCTGCTGCTGCTGCTGAGGAAGAGGAAGAAGAAGCAGAAGCAGAAACAGAAGCAGCAGCAAACCCAAACAGCAGCAGCAGC